GCAAAGGCCTGACAGGTGGTACCATGGTAGCATAACACACCGCAAAAGCCTCACACCAAGAACCAAACCCACCGACTTGCCAAAGGTGGTTTGCCCGATGGGCTGCCTTTTGAATCGACTCAAAAGCCCATCCCCACGCCCCGAGGCATCACATTCCCCTGGCAACGCCGCAAGCACCTCCCCAACCCCAACATCAATACCAACCCCAACATCAATACCAACCCCAACATCAATACCAACCCCAACATCAATACCAACCCCAACATCAATAGCAACCCCAACATCAATACCAACCCCAACATCAATAGCAACCCCAACATCAATAGCAACCCCAACATCAATACCAACCCCAAAATCAATAGCAACCCCAACATCAATAGCAACCCCAACATCAATACCAACCCCAACATCAATAGCAACCCCAACATCAATAGCAACCCCAACATCAATACCAACCCCAACATCAATACCAACCCCAACATCAATAGCAACCCCAACATCAATACCAACCCCAACATCAATACCAACCCCAACATCAATAGCAACCCCAACATCAATAGCAACCCCAACATCAATAGCAACCCCAACATCAATACCAACCCCAACATCAATAGCAACCCCAACATCAATAGCAACCCCAACATCAATACCAACCCCAACATCAATAGCAACGCCAACATCAATAGCAACCCCAACATCAATACCAACCCCAACATCAATACCAACCCCAACATCAATAGCAACCCCAACATCAATAGCAACCCCAACATCAATACCAACCCCAACATCAATAGCAACCCCAACATCAATAGCAACCCCAACATCAATAGCAACCCCAACATCAATACCAACCCCAACATCAATAGCAACCCCAACATCAATAGCAACCCCAACATCAATACCAACCCCAACATCAATACCAACCCCAACATCAATAGCAACCCCAACATCAATAGCAACCCCAACATCAATAGCAACCCCAACATCAATACCAACCCCAACATCAATACCAACCCCAACATCAATACCAACCCCAACATCAATACCAACCCCAACATCAATAGCAACCCCAACATCAATACCAACCCCAACATCAATACCAACCCCAACATCAATAGCAACCCCAACATCAATACCAACCCCAACATCAATAGCAACCCCAACATCAATACCAACCCCAACATCAATAGCAACCCCAACATCAATAGCAACCCCAACATCAATAGCCACCCCAACATCAATAGCAACCCCAACATCAATACCAACCCCAACATCAATACCAACCCCAACATCAATACCAACCCCAACATCAATAGCAACCCCAACATCAATAGCAACCCCAACATCAATACCAACCCCAACATCAATACCAACCCCAACATCAATACCAACCCCAACATCAATACCAACCCCAACATCAATAGCAACCCCAACATCAATAGCAACCCCAACATCAATAGCAACCCCAACATCAATACCAACCCCAACATCAATACCAACCCCAACATCAATAGCAACCCCAACATCAATAGCAACCCCAACATCAATACCAACCCCAACATCAATACCAACCCCAACATCAATAGCAACCCCAACATCAATACCAACCCCAACATCAATAGCAACCCCAACATCAATACCAACCCCAACATCAATAGCAACCCCAACATCAATACCAACCCCAACATCAATACCAACCCCAACATCAATAGCAACCCCAACATCAATACCAACCCCAACATCAATAGCAACCCCAACATCAATAGCAACCCCAACATCAATAGCAACCCCAACATCAATAGCAACCCCAACATCAATAGCAACCCCAACATCAATAGCAACCCCAACATCAATAGCAACCCCAACATCAATAGCAACCCCAACATCAATACCAACCCCAACATCAATACCAACCCCAACATCAATACCAACCCCAACATCAATACCAACCCCAACATCAATAGCAACCCCAACATCAATAGCAACCCCAAAATCAATAGCAACCCCAAAATCAATACCAACCCCAACATCAATAGCAACCCCAACATCAATAGCAACCCCAACATCAATAGCAACCCCAACATCAATAGCAACCCCAACATCAATAGCAACCCCAACATCAATAGCAACCCCAACATCAATAGCAACCCCAACATCAATAGCAACCCCAACATCAATACCAACCCCAACATCAATAGCAACCCCAACAACAATACCAACCCCAACATCAATACCAACCCCAACATCAATACCAACCCCAACATCAATACCAACCCCAACATCAATAGCAACCCCAACATCAATAGCAACCCCAACATCAATAGCAACCCCAACATCAATAGCAACCCCAACATCAATAGCAACCCCAACATCAATAGCAACCCCAACATCAATAGCAACCCCAACATCAATACCAACCCCAACATCAATAGCGACCCCAACATCAATAGCAACCCCAACATCAATAGCAACCCCAACATCAATAGCAACCCCAACATCAATAGCAACCCCAACATCAATAGCAACCCCAACATCAATAGCAACCCCAACATCAATAGCAACCCCAACATCAATAGCAACCCCAACATCAATAGCAACCCCAACATCAATAGCAACCCCAACATCAATAGCAACCCCAACATGAATAGCAACCCCAACATCAATAGCAACCCCAACATCAATAGCAACCCCAACATCAATAGCAACCCCAACATCAATAGCAACCCCAACATCAATAGCAACCCCAACATCAATAGCAACCCCAACATCAATAGCAACCCCAACATCAATAGCAACCCCAACATCAATAGCAACCCCAACATCAATAGCAACCCCAACATCAATAGCAACCCCAACATCAATAGCAACCCCAACATCAATAGCAACCCCAACATCAATAGCAACCCCAACATCAATAGCAACCCCAACATCAATAGCAACCCCAACATCAATAGCAACCCCAACATCAATAGCAACCCCAACATCAATAGCAACCCCAACATCAATAGCAACCCCAACATGAATAGCAACCCCAACATCAATAGCAACCCCAACATCAATAGCAACCCCAACATCAATAGCAACCCCAACATCAATAGCAACCCCAACATCAATAGCAACCCCAACATCAATAGCAACCCCAACATCAATAGCAACCCCAACATCAATAGCAACCCCAACATCAATACCAACCCCAACATCAATAGCAACCCCAACATCAATAGCAACCCCAACATCAATACCAACCCCAACATCAATAGCAACCCCAACATCAATAGCAACCCCAACATCAATAGCAACCCCAACATCAATAGCAACCCCAACATCAATAGCAACCCCAACATCAATAGCAACCCCAACATCAATAGCAACCCCAACATCAATAGCAACCCCAACATCAATAGCAACCCCAACATCAATAGCAACCCCAACATCAATAGCAACCCCAACATCAATAGCAACCCCAACATCAATAGCAACCCCAACATCAATAGCAACCCCAACATCAATAGCAACCCCAACATCAATAGCAACCCCAACATCAATACCAACCCCAACATCAATACCAACCCCAACATCAATACCAACCCCAACATCAATACCAACCCCAACATCAATACCAACCCCAACATCAATAGCAACCCCAACATCAATACCAACCCCAACATCAATAGCAACCCCAACATCAATAGCAACCCCAACATCAATAGCAACCCCAACATCAATAGCAACCCCAACATCAATAGCCACCCCAACATCAATAGCAACCCCAACATCAATACCAACCCCAACATCAATACCAACCCCAACATCAATACCAACCCCAACATCAATAGCAACCCCAACATCAATAGCAACCCCAACATCAATACCAACCCCAACATCAATACCAACCCCAACATCAATACCAACCCCAACATCAATACCAACCCCAACATCAATAGCAACCCCAACATCAATAGCAACCCCAACATCAATAGCAACCCCAACATCAATACCAACCCCAACATCAATACCAACCCCAACATCAATAGCAACCCCAACATCAATAGCAACCCCAACATCAATACCAACCCCAACATCAATAGCAACCCCAACATCAATAGCAACCCCAACATCAATACCAACCCCAACATCAATAGCAACCCCAACATCAATACCAACCCCAACATCAATACCAACCCCAACATCAATACCAACCCCAACATCGATACCAACCCCAACATCAATACCAACCCCAACATCAATACCAACCCCAACATCAATACCAACCCCAACATCAATACCAACCCCAACATCAATAGCAACCCCAACATCAATAGCAACCCCAACATCAATAGCAACCCCAACATCAATAGCAACCCCAACATCAATAGCAACCCCAACATCAATAGCAACCCCAACATCAATAGCAACCCCAACATCAATAGCAACCCCAACATCAATACCAACCCCAACATCAATACCAACCCCAACATCAATAGCAACCCCAACATCAATAGCAACCCCAAAATCAATACCAACCCCAACATCAATAGCAACCCCAACATCAATAGCAACCCCAACATCAATAGCAACCCCAACATCAATAGCAACCCCAACATCAATAGCAACCCCAACATCAATAGCAACCCCAACATCAATAGCAACCCCAACATCAATAGCAACCCCAACATCAATAGCAACCCCAACATCAATAGCAACCCCAACATCAATAGCAACCCCAACATCAATACCAACCCCAACAACAATACCAACCCCAACATCAATAGCAACCCCAACATCAATACCAACCCCAACATCAATAGCAACCCCAACATCAATAGCAACCCCAACATCAATAGCAACCCCAACATCAATAGCAACCCCAACATCAATAGCAACCCCAACATCAATAGCAACCCCAACATCAATAGCAACCCCAACATCAATACCAACCCCAACATCAATACCAACCCCAACATCAATAGCGAACCCCAACATCAATAGCAACCCCAACATCAATAGCAACCCCCAACATCAATAGCAACCCCAACATCAATAGCAACCCCAACATCAATAGCAACCCCAACATCAATAGCAACCCCAACATCAATAGCAACCCCAACATCAATAGCAACCCCAACATCAATAGCAACCCCAACATCAATAGCAACCCCAACATCAATAGCAACCCCAACATCAATAGCAACCCCAACATCAATAGCAACCCCAACATCAATAGCAACCCCAACATCAATAGCAACCCCAACATCAATAGCAACCCCAACATCAATAGCAACCCCAACATCAATAGCAACCCCAACATCAATAGCAACCCCAACATCAATAGCAACCCCAACATCAATAGCAACCCCAACATCAATAGCAACCCCAACATCAATAGCAACCCCAACATCAATAGCAACCCCAACATCAATAGCAACCCCAACATCAATAGCAACCCCAACATCAATAGCAACCCCAACATCAATAGCAACCCCAACATCAATAGCAACCCCAACATCAATAGCAACCCCAACATCAATAGCAACCCCAACATCAATAGCAACCCCAACATCAATAGCAACCCCAACATCAATAGCAACCCCAACATCAATAGCAACCCCAACATCAATAGCAACCCCAACATCAATAGCAACCCGAACATCAATAGCAACCCGAACATCAATAGCAACCCCAACATCAATAGCAACCCCAACATCAATAGCAACCCCAACATCAATACCAACCCCAACATCAATACCAACACCAACATCAATACCAACCTCCAAAATCCTGAACCCACCGACTTGCCAAAGATGGTTTGCCCGATGGGCTGCCCTAGCCGCTGCTGCTGAATGGACTCCTGCAAACGCCTCTGCCATGGGGATGGGGGGTGATAGGGGGATAGAAAACACAAGGGATAGGTGGCATGGTACCTTCACATCCAGCGGCAGCAATCCTTCCCAACCCACTCTAGTTTTGAGAACCAACCCAGCCCATGAGACGTCTCAAAACTTTTGAGAACAAAGGGGATAGAGCAACAAAGGGGATAGAGCAACAAAGGGGAAATAAAGTGTGGTTCACATCCAGCAGCAGCAATCCTCACCAACCCACTCTATTTCCCCACGGCGTCGCTGCCACCATATCCAAACCCTCCAACCGTCAACCCCTTCCAACCAACCACCCCAGCCCAAAGCGGCTCACAAAAGCACAGATGGCCCACCTGCTTCCTGAGCAGAGCCAAGGCGAGGTAGGCAGCATTCCCCGTATCGGCACTCGGCACAGGCTGTTGAGACAAAACTAGACTCCCAATGCCCACCTGTTTTCTGAGGAGAGCCAGGGGGAGGCAGATGGCATGCTCGGCACAGGACACAGCATTCCCCGTATCACCCTGATAAAAGTTGTATTTTGAGACGTCTCAAAATCCCCCTCACTGTCGCTGCTGCCACGTCCACCCCCTCCAACCCCACCATCACACCCCACACCACACTAAACCGCACTAACAACCCACATCACCCCAGAACACCACTCTTAACCGCACCTGCTTCCTTAGCAACGCCAGGGCGAGGTAGATGGCATGTTCAGCACAGGAAACAGCATTCCCCGTATCAGCACTCGGGATTCGCCCCACCCTGATCCCCCTCGCTGTTGCTGCTGTCACATCCACCCCCTCCAGCCCCACCCCGAACTGCACTATCAGCCGCAGCTTGGAAGCTTCCGCGATGGTTCCCGCGTCCAGCCGGGTCATCCGCGGTACGACGACGTGGCAGTCTCTGATTCGCTGAGGGATTTCGGCCCGCGGGTGCCAGGAAATTTCCATGTTGGGCTCTTTGTGTAAAAGCTCTGCGGAGTAGGTGTAGGCTTCGGGGAACTCGTCTCCACAGAAGAGCACCTTATAACGGGTACAAGGAGGTTCACAGGGATAAACACGTGCATGCAGCATCAAAGGGAAACATAAGTTAGGATTCAGCATGCCTTTGCAGTAGGAAAAATAGTAAGAAGCTATTCAAAGGAGTGTGGTTCAAAGGAGTGTGGTTCAAAGGAGTGTGGTTCAAAGGAGTGTGGTTCAAAGGAGTGTGGTTCAAAGGAGTGTGGTGCAAGGGAGTGTGGTTCAAAGGAGTGTGGTGCAAGGGAGTGTGGTTCAAAGGAGTGTGGTTCAAAGGAGTGTGGTGCAAGGGAGTGTGGTTCAAAGGATTGTGGTCCAAACTTCAAAGGAGTGTTGTGCAAGAAAGTGCGGTTCCAGGGAGTGTAGCTCGAGCTTATTACTACATTCTTGCAAGGCGCCCACTTCTTCCCGCCGCTCTCCACTCATTCTCATCTCCAAAACACTCGTCCCTCCTCATTCCAATCCACTTGTTCCTGATCCTCCCCATGGAATGGCGCTCCCTCCAAACCCTTGACCCATGAAGCTCCCTGCGCCACATTTTCCCCACTCCCCCACCGCAGCCCCGATTCCCCTCTCCCCACTCCTCCCCCGCTCCTCTCCTTCTCTCTCCCCCCCCCCCCTCCCCCTTCTCCCTCTTCCCCTTCTCTCCCGGCCATTTCCCTACTTTGAAGCTTTCCCCCTCCGCCAACGGTGCGGAGGCTACGCGCGCGGACGCTTCAGGCGCTGCTGTCGTAGGCGCTGCGCCTCCCGCCGCTCCCCCTTCTCCCATCTCCCTTTTCTTCCCACCTGCTTACCTTGAAGTTCTCCCCTTCCGCCAACGGCGCGGAGGCTACACGCGCGGACGCTTCAGGCGCTGCTGTCGTAGACGCTGCGCCTCCCGCCTCTCCCTCTTCCCCTGGAACATTCCCCGGAACCATCACGATGGCGCTGGCGATGCCACGCAATGCTGATGTGGCATCGAGTGGCCGAGCGATCACGGGACGCGCTGCGTGTCGCAGAAGGCTAGTCGCTGGCGACATTGGGGGATGTGTAACGGGGTAGCGTCCTCGACAAAATTATATAATATTGCGTTTTGATATGTGTGTAACTGGTGATCGGAGCTGTAAGATACTCCCTAGAGAGGAGTTTCCAGAAGTCTCAACAACTGTGATTGGAGCATCGCGAGTATGCACAAGGAGGAACCCTTCGAACTCCGTACAAACCCACAAACGGCGAGACGCGAGACAGAAGGAATAAGAACAGGATCAAGCAAACGACCTGATCAAATTCCAAGAGTCGAGACCAACCTGCTGAAGTGCAGGCAAATTCTGCGGGTAAAATCCGGCGGAGACCTGCTGTTCTGACACATGATATTTTTTCAAAAAGACCCACCTATACCAAGGATTCAGTGTGACAAATGTGTTTAGTGCGTGAGCATATGACGAGCTGGGCTTTTATAATACATTATCTTAGCATATCTTCCAAAACCACCATTTCTGTGCAGAATATGTGTTAAAGAAATATTTAAATACAAATAAATTTCTGATTTCCGTACGTTACAGAGAGTATTCCTTCGAATCAATTTCCATATTGGATGACCTATCCATTAAATTTTATTTCAGAGGGAAACCATAAATATTGCTTTATTTGATTATAGAATGATTGAAACTTGAAATAAAACATCACTGTTCTAAGAGTTGAGGTAGTTATTCATTTTGTTTTTAAATTTTGGGTGAGCAAATGGACATTGCGTAATAATGAGATCCATTGTAGGAATTCAGAATTTCAGAGTTTGAATGTTTCCCGCCTCTTGGTACTTTCCTCCGCCACTCGCCAGCCTCTCATGGTTTGACCCGTCTCCATGACTCTTTCCTCAATTCTTATTTCCTGCTTGTGTTGTTCCTTCTCATTCCACATGCGACCTCTTCATTCTCTGCTTCTCCGTTCGCGTCGCGCGAAGACACAACTAGGTAGCTCGGTTTTGCTCTTCAAGGTTACAACGTCCCTAATTCGCTCGCGTCGCATGACCTGCGTGCTCTAGCGTTGATTCTCATTCACTGGGTCCCACGGTATAAGTGCAACGTCAGGCCGTCTAGTGGTAACCAATTCGCACAACGATAACCCTTTCGCGCAGTGGTAACCCTTTTGTACTATAACGAGCAAGCCAATATGGCGGACATGACCCAGATGGATGGCGGAGAGGCGAAGCTGCCAGAGCTCAAACTCGGTACGTCATAGACTGTCTATTTGCTAGTCGACGGTGCGTGACAGACCGTCCTGCTCTCAGCAATAAACACATCCTACCTGGTCTTCGTTTCCTCAAGGGTTCCTGTTTTCTATCCCCCTATCACCCCCCATCCCCATACATTTTTGAAACTTGGACAACAGGATGCCTCTAGAATACCCAGTATATTTAAATGAAGTGCCTACAGTTTTGCCCGAGTTCGTTGAGATCTGTACCCGTGACCCGTGTGCCCCTTTCCACGTTGGAGAAACGGAGTTTGGTCCTCATCGTCGGGACTTGGCGCCCATATGAGGTGTAATGACGTGGATCCTCATGCTTCGCGCGCCTCGGGTCGTTCACCTCTCAACCAGCCAACTTCCAGGTTTTCCGCCAAGCTGCTGGAGTTCTGCATTTCGCCAACTGGTGTTCCGCGAAAGTCCTCTCTGTCCAAAATCTTCCGCAGACGTGTTCAAAGTTGGAGCACCCAAACCCCACCGGGTGCTTTCACCTAGCGGGGTGCTCGTGCTCCCCCCCTTCATGCACGCTGCGCGCTACCGGGGCGCGCACCACATTTTCACCGCACCCTGCCGACTACACCGGCTTCCGCGCGGCTGGGCCGAATCCTCCGCCAATTCTGCCTGGCGCTGCGCTTTTTTGTCAGGTTCAAGATCCTCTCCAAGCTGCTTCAAGCTGCCATTGGCAGCAAATTCGATGCGCGAAGCTTGCCATCCAGTGAGGAGATTTATTCCCCCAAACTCCCACTTGTTCATTCCGTTCTGCTCTGCCCTAACCCACACGCACTTGGCCTGCAACCTTCGCTGCAATTCCTCCTCCCTCCCTCAGTTTCCCCAAATCGCTCAGCCCTCACCACCACCCCTGTCCAAGTTCCTACCGCACCGCTGCTTCCAAGATCTTGTCCAGCGGTCTCTAGACTTGTTCTCCACTGTTGGGGCAATTACTCACAGTAGGGAGTAATAGATTACGTAGGTAGGTCCACTTATAACTAGAATGGAGGCTGCCACGCCGCTCGTCTACCGTTTGCCTTTAAGGCAATTTAGTAAGCCCTGCACATCGACGTATTCTGCTGATAATAGCATCACCGTCCAAGCCATTACCGCGACGCGCCTTCCGAGACACGTCTTTGTGGAATCCGCTCGTCTAGAACAAATGGCGCCAGCTCTCGGCTATTCCGCTCGCACCCCCGTTGCGCTTCCAGCGTCCCCCTCCGCGTCTGCGACGTCGTCGCTTGGTCACATCGCGAGCCGTGCGTCTCTTTTCGTCGCAGCTCCTGCTGCCGCCGAAGCCTTCGACCTTTCTCGTCCGTCCGTTCTGCTCGGAGCCGGCGCTACCGACTGCTGCCAACCTCTTCCTCTCGACTGCGACTACAGCGGCGCCAGCAGCGCGGCCGGCGTGGAAATGCAGGAGGGCAGCGGTTCGAACTTCGACGAGTCCGATATGTTCAGCGACATTCCCGCCGAAGCGCAGCGCTTCGCGGGAAAACCGTGTGAAGAATCGACGCAATCCAACGTGCGCGGAACGAAGAGGGCTGCGGACGAGCCACTGGAGCGGAGAGTCCGCGGAAAGGCGGAAGCGTTCAGCGCAACGAGCGCGGATTGCCGCGGCGCGCCTAATGCCATCTCACCCTCGTCAAGCCTCCCTTGGTGGGTGCTCGAGGCGCTCGGGGAAGAAAACGAGGGCGAAGGAGAGGTGGACGGCTGTCCGCCAGCTTCAGCTTCCCCGGCGGACTCTGCCTGCTCCGCCGCTGCAGGCAATCACCCGCGCGGCAGTAGGATTGGCGGAGGCCTGGAGGAGACTGACTGCACGCTTTCGAGAGAGTCTGCTTGCGGTGAAGATTTTTTTTTCTCGGAAGATGCGCAGTCTTTAGCTACCGTGGTTCCGCCGAGTTCTGTGAGCGGAGCTGGTGCCTGCTTATGGGCGGAAACGTTCGGCGCGGAGGACATCGGCGCTCTGCTGCAGGCGGAGCTTTGCGGGGACTCATTTATTGGGCGGAGCGTGGTGGCGGAAGGGGAGGATTCGGCGGAAGCTGAGGGGCCGTTGGATGACCTTTGCGCGGATGCTGTGCTGCGTGCGCAGTGCTTTGCGGACGAGGCGGAGATTGGGGAGAAGCTTGAAGTGGAGGAGCGGGAAGCTGCGCAGTGGGATGTGGCGGGTTTGGGGATGTGGTGCTGGGAGGAGCGCTTGGTCGCTTGCTAGTGTTTCGGCGGAAAGCGCGCACACAAGTTTTTAGCTGGTCACGGGAAACTAACCTTATAGCTCATATCGAAGGGAGCTTACAGCGGAGGATACTCCGTTCTGCCGATTTTCCCAAGGCGCAAGCGCAATTTGAGCTGCGACCTTGCGGCGAGAGGTGTACAGTATGTACTAGTATAATGCTAACTACTGACATAAGCTGAGGAGCCTAACCGTAGCAGCTTCAACAACTCTTTTTGCGGTGTAATTATCTCATCTCATGGTTCACGTTGTCACAAGGTTTGGCCAGAAGAATAACAATGGTCTCGTAAGCATTTGCTTGCCTTATTGTATTGTCAGTAGTAATGACATTTTAGGATACATTCAGGGGGCGTGTCACAAAAGCTTAATGTCTCAGATACAGTGCGGTTAAAATGGTTGCACTATATGGTGGGTGCAATGCAGTGCTGAATGGTACCGGTACACTACCTTTGTGATACCCTAAATCCCTGCACTTTTTCATTCACAACTCCTGACAGATTCAGTGATAAAACCAAGGGGAAAGAAACTCATTGCTTATGTCCACTTTGCTGCCACATGTCATTCAAAGAGAGGACTGCCAGTGCCATACTGCGTGGAGGTTTCTTCCTCCTCGTCGTCCCCATCACCTCCCTGTGAGCATTGATGAAAGAGACAAGGTGTTAGCCTTGCACTGTGTGGCCGATGACCATCCAGCCAGCAACACAAGAGATAGACAATGATGGTGTGGCGTGCAATAGCAGTGGGATGGGTGCGGCATGAGTACCGTAGTACCGTACAATAATGGATGGTATGGAACAGCATGGCATGGAGTGTGATGTGGGCATGTCAAGACTTATCATCCCATTGCATGTCATGACTTATCATCCCATTGAATGTCATGACTTATCATCCCATTGCATGTCATGACAAGTTAGGGATCACCTTCAGAAGTCTGTCGATGCGATTGAGCCCTCTCTTGGCGTTTTCATTGGTCGGGTTGATGCTGACATGGGAGTTTGTGCAGGGGCAAAGAGGTGCATGCAAAAGGCAACACACACTAATTGAGATAATGGTTGTGCACAGGCACAAGTGTTTGCACACTGGTGGGTGAATGCATGCGAGTCTAGCATGTTCGAAGCTGGCATGCTGGCATGAGGCGTGCTGGCATGAGGCGTGCTGGCATGTAGCGTGCTGGCATGTGGCGTGCTGGCATGTGGCGTGCTGGCATGTGGCGTGCTGGCATGTAGCGTGCTGGCATGCTGGCATGCATACAAGCAGAACTATATCCGGGGAGAGGAAACTGGAAATGGAATCCTGGGCAACAGATGTCATGGCATGTCATGGAATGTCATGGGATGTGTCATGTTTGATCATAAGGGACAAAACATGCCACGTCATCATCACCTGAGAGCCGTTTGCAGATGGTGCAGAGCGTCGGGCAGCCGGTTGGCCGCCATGTGGACGAACCCGAGCTTCACGTGGATCCAGTCAGCAGAGTCCACTGCCAGGTGGCGCTCCAGCCTGGTGGTGCACACACGAGAGGGAGAGGGGAGTGCATGAATGGCTTTGGCGGCTCATTATTGAGGCGCCTCAAAACTATGCTTTTGGCGGCTCATTTTTTAGGCGCCTCAAAAATATGCTTTTGGCGGCTCAAAGCAGCGTCCACTGCCAGGTGGCGCTCGAGCGTGGTGGTATGCACACACGAGAGGGAAAGGAAAAGGGGGGTGTCTGTTATTGGGCGCCTCATATCCCGCATCCACTGCAGCCTGGTCGTATGCACGCATGAAGAGCGAGAGGGGAGTGCAGGAATGCTTTTGGCGGGTCAAAGCAGCGTCCACTGCCAGGTGGCGCTTCAGCCTGGTGGCATGGAACGGGAAGGGAAAGGGGGATTGCGAGAGGAAAAGGGGGTTGTGAGAGGAAAAGGGGGTTGTGAGAAGAAAAGGGGGTTGTGAGAAGAAAAGGGGGTTGGGAGAGGAAAGGCAAGTACACACAGGAAAGCACTCACACGTCCACCACAGCAGCACTGTGCCAGTACCCAATGCTCTGCTGCACCACTTCCGATCTAACTTATGATTCTCCGAGCAGCTGCATGCAAAAGAGATGAGCCTCATGACACCATCCTACCACTCACACATCCACAGATGACTTTTGAGTCGACTCAGAAGAGATGAGCCTCATGACACCATCCTACCACTCACACATCCACAGATGACTTTTGAGTCGACTCAGAAGAGATGAGCCTCATGACACCATCCTACCACTCACACATCCACAGATGACTTTTGAGTCGACTCAGAAGAGATGAGCCTCATGACACCATCCTACCACTCACACATCCACAGATGACTTTTGAGTCGACTCAGAAGAGATGAGCCTCATGACACCATCCTACCACTCACACATCCACAGATGACTTTTGAGTCGACTCAGAAGAGATGAGCCTCATGACACCATCCTACCACTCACACATCCACAGATGACTTTTGAGTCGACTCAGAAGAGATGAGCCTCATGACACCATCCTACCACTCACACATCCACAGATGACTTTTGAGTCGACTCAGAAGAGATGAGCCTCATGACACCATCCTACCACTCACACATCCACAGATGACTTTTGAGTCGACTCAGAAGAGATGAGCCTCATGACACCATCCTACCACTCACACATCCACAGATGACTTTTGAGTCGACTCAGAAGAGATGAGCCTCATGACACCATCCTACCACTCACACCTCATGCTGCCCCGTCTATGCTGTGAGCGTCTGTCCGTGCTGTGCCTTTTGGGGGTTCATATGCGTTCACAGGGGTCCACAGGGATCCACAGGGGTCCACAGCGGTCCACAGGGGTCCACAGGACCAGCCACTCACACGTCAATGGCAGCAGCATGCCGCCCGTCCATGGTGTGCGCGTCTGCCAGGCCCGTGACAGCAGCACCACAGCGGCCGTCCATCCTCAGTGCCGCCTCAAACACCTTGCGGGCCTGCAGAGGGGAGAGGAGGAGAGGGGGAGAGGGGGAGAAGGTGGATGGAGGAGACGTAAACAAGGGGCTAACGATGGGGAAGGAGCAGCAGCAACAGCTGCGACGCCACAGCGGCCGTCCATCCTCAGTGCCGCCTCAAACACCTTGCGCGCCTGGTGTGTGCGTGTGTGTGTGCGCGCGCGTGCACACGTGTGTGTGTGAGGGAAAGACGGGAGGTACATGAGGTTATTAGCTCATCCCGTGACAGCAGCGCCACAGCGGCCGTCCATCCGTAGTGCCACTTCAAACACCTTGCGCGCCTGCAGTATGTGTGTGCGTGTGCGGGTGTGAGTGGAAGCGGGAACGGTGTGTATGTGTGTGTGCGCGCGCTCGCGCGTGCAAGTGGAGGGAGAGAAGGGAAGGAGGAAATTGTACAAGGCATAAACGACGATGAGACATGGAATGAGAAGGAACATGATACACATCCTGCGAGTGAGGGTTGAGACACTCAACGGTCCATCATCAGTGCTGCCTCCGTGTCAATTCTCACAGCAAGTCAATTCTCACAGCAAGTCAATTCTCACAGCAAGTCAATTCTCACAGCAAGTCAATTCTCACAGCAAGTCAATTCTCACAGCAAGTCACTTCTCACAGCAAGTCAATTCTCACAGCAAGTCACTTCTCACAGCAAGTCAATTCTCACAGCAAGTCAATTCTCACAGCAAGTCAATTCTCACAGCAAGTCAATTCTCACAGCAAGTCAATTCTCACAGCAAGTCAATTCTCACAGCAAGTCAATTCTCACAGCAAGTCACTTCTCACAGCAAGTCAATTCTCACAGCAAGTCACTTCTCACAGCAAGTCAATTCTCACAGCAAGTCACTTCTCACAGCAAGTCAATTCTCACAGCAAGTCAATTCTCACAGCAAGTCAATTCTCACAGCAAGTCAATTCTCACAGCAAGTCAATTCTCACAGCAAGTCAATTCTCACAGCAAGTCAATTCTCACAGCAAGTCACTTCTCACAGCAAGTCAATTCTCACAGCAAGTCACTTCTCACAGCAAGTCAATTCTCACAGCAAGTCAATTCTCACAGCAAGTCAATTCTCACAGCAAGTCAATTCTCACAGCAAGTCAATTCTCACAGCAAGTCACTTCTCACAGCAAGTCACTTCTCACAGCAAGTCACTTCTCACAGCAAGTCAATTCTCACAGCAAGTCAATTCTCACAGCAAGTCAATTCTCACAGCAAGTCAATTCTCACAGCAAGTCAATTCTCACAGCAAGTCAATTCTCACAGCAAGTCAATTCTCACAGCAAGTCAATTCTCACAGCAAGTCAATTCTCACAGCAAGTCAATTCTCACAGCAAGTCAATTCTCACAGCAAGTCACTTCTCACAGCAAGTCACTTCTCACAGCAAGTCACTTCTCACAGCAAGTCACTTCTCACAGCAAGTCACTTCTCACAGCAAGTCACTTCTCACAGCAAGTCACTTCTCACAGCAAGTCAATTCTCACAGCAAGTCAATTCTCACAGCAAGTCAATTCTCACAGCAAGTCAATTCTCACAGCAAGTCACTTCTCACAGCAAGTCACTTCTCACAGCAAGTCACTTCTCACAGCAAGTCACTTCTCACAGCAAGTCAATTCTCACAGCAAGTCAATTCTCACAGCAAGTCAATTCTCACAGCAAGTCAATTCTCACAGCAAGTCACTTCTCACAGGAAGTCAATTCTCACAGGAAGTCAATTCTCACAGCAAGTCAATTCTCACAGCAAGTCACTTCTCACAGCAAGTCACTTCTCACAGCAAGTCACTTCTCACAGCAAGTCACTTCTCACAGCAAGTCACTTCTCACAGCAAGTCACTTCTCACAGCAAGTCAATTCTCACAGCAAGTCAATTCTCACAGCAAGTCACTTCTCACAGCAAGTCAATTCTCACAGCAAGTCAATTCTCACAGCAAGTCACTTCTCACAGCAAGTCACTTCTCACAGCAAGTCACTTCTCACAGCAAGTCACTTCTCACAGCAAGTCACTTCTCACAGCAAGTCACTTCTCACAGCAAGTCACTTCTCACAGCAAGTCACTTCTCACAGCAAGTCAATTCTCACAGCAAGTCAATTCTCACAGCAAGTCAATTCTCACAGCAAGTCACTTCTCACAGCAAGTCAATTCTCACAGCAAGTCACTTCTCACAGCAAGTCACTTCTCACAGCAAGTCACTTCTCACAGCAAGTCACTTCTCACAGCAAGCCACTTCTCACAGCAAGTCACTTCTCACAGCAAGTCAATTCTCACAGCAAGTCAATTCTCACAGCAAGTCAATTCTCACAGCAAGTCAATTCTCACAGCAAGTCACTTCTCACAGCAAGTCACTTCTCACAGCAAGTCACTTCTCACAGCAAGTCACTTCTCACAGCAAGTCAATTCTCACAGCAAGTCAATTCTCACAGCAAGTCAATTCTCACAGCAAGTCAATTCTCACAGCAAGTCACTTCTCACAGGAAGTCAATTCTCACAGGAAGTCAATTCTCACAGCAAGTCAATTCTCACAGCAAGTCACTTCTCACAGCAAGTCACTTCTCACAGCAAGTCACTTCTCACAGCAAGTCACTTCTCACAGCAAGTCACTTCTCACAGCAAGTCACTTCTCACAGCAAGTCAATTCTCACAGCAAGTCAATTCTCACAGCAAGTCACTTCTCACAGCAAGTCAATTCTCACAGCAAGTCAATTCTCACAGCAAGTCACTTCTCACAGCAAGTCACTTCTCACAGCAAGTCACTTCTCACAGCAAGTCACTTCTCACAGCAAGTCACTTCTCACAGCAAGTCACTTCTCACAGCAAGTCACTTCTCACAGCAAGTCACTTCTCACAGCAAGTCAATTCTCACAGCAAGTCAATTCTCACAGCAAGTCAATTCTCACAGCAAGTCACTTCTCACAGCAAGTCAATTCTCACAGCAAGTCACTTCTCACAGCAAGTCAATTCTCACAGCAAGTCAATTCTCACAGCAAGTCACTTCTCACAGCAAGTCAATTCTCACAGCAAGTCAATTCTCACAGCAAGTCAATTCTCACAGCAAGTCACTTCTCACAGCAAGTCAATTCTCACAGCAAGTCAATTCTCACAGCAAGTCACTTCTCACAGCAAGTCACTTCTCACAGCAAGTCACTTCTCACAGCAAGTAAATTCTCACAGCAAGTCAATTCTAACAGCAAGTCAATTCTCACAGCAAGTCAATTCTCACAGCAAGTCAATTCTCACAGCAAGTCAATTCTCACAGCAAGTCAATTCTCACAGCAAGTCAATTCTCACAATTCTACAGCAAGTCACTTCTCACAGCAAGTCACTTCTCACAGCAAGTCAATTCTCACAGCAAGTCAATTCTCACAGCAAGTCAATTCTCACAGCAAGTCAATTCTCACAGCAAGTCACTTCTCACAGCAAGTCAATTCTCACAGCAAGTCAATTCTCACAGCAAGTCAATTCTCACAGCAAGTCAATTCTCACAGCAAGTCACTTCTCACAGCAAGTCACTTCTCACAGCAAGTCAATTCTCACAGCAAGTCACTTCTCACAGCAAGTCACTTCTCACAGCAAGTCAATTCTCACAGCAAGTCACTTCTCACAGCAAGTCACTTCTCACAGCAAGTCAATTCTCACAGCAAGTCAATTCTCACAGCAAGTCAATTCTCACAGCAAGTCAATTCTCACAGCAAGTCAATTCTCACAGCAAGTCAATTCTCACAGCAAGTCAATTCTCACAGCAAGTCAATTCTCACAGCAAGTCAATTCTCACAGCAAGTCAATTCTCACAGCAAGTCAATTCTCACAGCAAGTCAATTCTCACAGCAAGTCAATTCTCACAGCAAGTCAATTCTCACAGCAAGTCAATTCTCACAGCAAGTCAATTCTCACAGCAAGTCAATTCTCACAGCAAGTCAATTCTCACAGCAAGTCAATTCTCACAGCAAGTCAATTCTCACAGCAAGTCAATTCTCACAGCAAGTCAATTCTCACAGCAAGTCAATTCTCACAGCAAGTCAATTCTCACAGCAAGTCAATTCTCACAGCAAGTCAATTCTCACAGCAAGTCAATTCTCACAGCAAGTCAATTCTCACAGCAAGTCAATTCTCACAGCAAGTCAATTCTCACAGCAAGTCAATTCTCACAGCAAGTCAATTCTCACAGCAAGTCAATTCTCACAGCAAGTCAATTCTCACAGCAAGTCAATTCTCACAGCAAGTCAATTCTCACAGCAAGTCAATTCTCACAGCAAGTCAATTCTCACAGCAAGTCAATTCTCACAGCAAGTCAATTCTCACAGCAAGTCAATTCTCACAGCAAGTCAATTCTCACAGCAAGTCACTTCTCACAGCAAGTCAATTCTCACAGCAAGTCAATTCTCACAGCAAGTCAATTCTCACAGCAAGTCACTTCTCACAGCAAGTCACTTCTCACAGCAAGTCACTTCTCACAGCAAGTCACTTCTCACAGCAAGTCACTTCTCACAGCAAGTCACTTCTCACAGCAAGTCACTTCTCACAGCAAGTCAATTCTCACAGCAAGTCAATTCTCACAGCAAGTCAATTCTCACAGCAAGTCAATTCTCACAGCAAGTCACTTCTCACAGCAAGTCACTTCTCACAGCAAGTCACTTCTCACAGCAAGTCACTTCTCACAGCAAGTCAATTCTCACAGCAAGTCAATTCTCACAGCAAGTCAATTCTCACAGCAAGTCAATTCTCACAGCAAGTCACTTCTCACAGGAAGTCAATTCTCACAGGAAGTCAATTCTCACAGCAAGTCAATTCTCACAGCAAGTCACTTCTCACAGCAAGTCACTTCTCACAGCAAGTCACTTCTCACAGCAAGTCACTTCTCACAGCAAGTCACTTCTCACAGCAAGTCACTTCTCACAGCAAGTCAATTCTCACAGCAAGTCAATTCTCACAGCAAGTCACTTCTCACAGCAAGTCAATTCTCACAGCAAGTCAATTCTCACAGCAAGTCA